GTTAAAATTCTTAATATGTATTTTGTTGCGGTCTTATACAAATTATTTTACTTTATTATTCCTACCGCTATACCTTCTAATTATTAGAACTTAAGTTAACTTGCCAACGGTTTTGTTGATTAGTAGTAATAGTGATAGTAGCAGTATCAGAAGAAGACTTATAACAGCTAACGAAAAACTTTGAGAACATTTCAGCTTTTTCGTTATCTGTACAGACATGTGTATTTCCGTTTTCTAATCTACTAGGATAATCTGAAATGCATTTTCGGAATTTATTAAGACTTTACGTCTGGATCCTGTCGAATTCCGAGACCGGATTCCACCGAATGCTGTATAGGAAATTACGATAATGTTTCGTTATAGTGCTTATGTTACACGTTCTCAGCAGCATTTCATATTTGCTCTAAGGGCATTTTTGGTATAAGTTCCATACAAATTATATTTCACAGATTTCTCGTTAAAAAATAGTAATAGGTTTTTCAATCACTGTGTTATTTGAAATAGCTTTTCTGTTGTTATTTTTTGAATTAAATGTCATTACAAACAACCTTATCTCCGTATAAAGTAAGATAAAGTCCTTTGAACATAAATAAGAATTTCATATTTCGCGCGCAACCTACCCGTGCGTAACATTCGCTGTGCGCAACTTTCTCGTGCGCAAGCTTTGTGGTGCGCAAGTTTCGGGATCCTGCTCTCATATATATAAAACTTCCAATTTTCGTAGGCTAATTTCGTACATATAAACAAACCCACGGCTAAAGTTGGATAATGTATAAAATTTATAATTTTATGATGATAAACCATCCGATCAAGTATCCAATATATGCCTTCTATTTTATCTTCATATGCTTCTTGATTTGGAAATGTAATTTTTAGTAGTTTATACCATAATCTCAATGGTATAAATGCACCATGTTTTCTGTCATGTGTTTGGCCTCATCCATAATGTTTTTATGCTTTTAATTTGAACTGCATATAATGGTGTATGATTATCATTATAAACATAAATACGATGGTCCACAGTTAATTTATCTGCTAGTAAATAATGATCTTATAAACATGGAGAAACTCATTTCCCATAACACTTATCTGATGATCGGTCACAGTTTCAATTGTGAAAAATATGTGCAACACAAAAGAAAAAATATTTCATTTTACTTTTTGGACAAATCTGCTAGCAAGAAATACGAAGTATTGAAGCTGAGAAGTGAAGGGAACAAAATTTGTTTAGCTTCTGAAGCTACATTAGAAAATATCAAGACTTTTGCAGATTCATCCTCTACCGTCGTGTAGATTTTTGGAGCTCTGATGATTTTTCATAGATCTGTTGCACTAAAAACCAGATTTATTGTTTTATGCTGTGTTGAATTAACGCATCTCATGTTGTTTCCATTTAAAATGTTTTTAAGTTAAAAGGACTGAAGTTATCTAAGAAACTCCGCCCAAAAGAATTTCGTCCGTCATAAAAGTAAAATGTCTTATACAACATGAGAACAGCGCTTTCCTTTACTCTTTTCGATCTTTCGTCGTCTCGTTTCATTAAAGTAATTCGCTTACTATTCAATTTTGATGTATTGTGTGTTCTATCATTGATTGATGGTGTTACTTCATTTAAAAACTGACAAAGTTTGTCTAATGAATGTTCTATATCACCACGCAACTCAATAGAATATTCTTTCAAATATCTTTCAAATAAATCATCATGAATATTTTGATATTTGTGTATTTCAATCATTCGCAAATAATGTTTCATACAATCGATGGTTAAACGTTTTTGTTGCTGCTGCTTTTGTTCTACATGATCCTCATTTTGTTGATTGTTTAAAAGATAGTTGTCATACAACTGGTTCAAAAATATTGCTTTTAACTCCGTATTTGTTGATGTTGATGATATTAATATTAACATAATCATTATTTGTCTATTTGTAAACAATTTCAAGATCGGATAATTTTTACGATAACATTGAAGACAGTGTACCAAATTTTTTAGTGTCATATCCAAAGTTTTTAATTGAGTTCTTAAATTATCTATCCAAACTGTTAAAGATGTTTGCACCTGAGTTATATCAGTGATATTCAGTTGTTGTTGTTCACTTTCTTTTTTCATTATTAAAGATAAATCACCATTTTTATCACTAATATCGTAAGACATTATTTTCATTTGATAATGTGGATGTCCGACTGATTCTAATCGAATTAGTAAAGAAAAAATATTTTCGATAATTTTTAATATTTGTAGTTGTCCATCAAGCATCAATTTTTTATGTGACATATTTTGTAAATCAACGTTACAAAATGTTAGTTGTCGTTTATGATCAATTATATCAGATTGTGACATTGTGAAATTAATTTTTTCTATTTCATTACTGTAATAACGTCTCATAAGACTTTGTTGTTGTTGAAGAGGAGAAACTGAAATATTATCAATGTCATGCAGTGTTGTCATATGACGTATTTTTTCTATAGAATAGTTTAATTCAAAATAAGATTTTTCATCAATTAAATGTTTTAAATGAATGTCAATCTTTCCACTTTTATACAATCGTCCCATTGTTATTAATGCATTATCTAACGTACTTATTTCATCGGTTGATAACCATAAATTAACTAATTGAATATTTTCATTAACAATTCGTAATTGATTAATCGATTCATCAATATTATGTAAATTCAACAAACGTTTAAAAAATTCTTCAACATTTAATACTTTTAAAACAAATGGTTCACATACAGCATATGTTACAATAAGAGCATTTAATATAAGATTAAATTTTTCTTGTAATTGAAATTGTGTCGTTAAATTGTCACGTAATTCACGAAATTTTAATCGTCCTTTTCTACTATATAAATCAGCTTTCTTAAACATTTGTATAAGAGAATGACATTCCAATGTCACTTTAATTAATTGTAAATGTTTGTTATCTAACCCATTGAATATAATTTTTGATGTTTCATATGATTCTGATATATGTTTTATACGTTTATCATCAATATTACTAAGATTTTTTAATTGTGTTATGGATTGATTATTATCATCTATAATTTCAAAAGATTTTATACAATCGATAATTGTTGATATAAAACTAAAATATTGATATATTTGTAACCATTCATATATTTTTTCAATTTGTCTTCTCAGATTTTTACTATCACCACTTTGAGATAAATATAATTTTATAACTTCATTTTTTATATCAATACTATTGTTAGAAAATGTTGTTTTTAAATTCAACATTTCGGTCAGACCAACATCACCAACTAGTAATTTATTAATAAATTTAAATACATCTTTACTTAATATACTAGCGACATCTGCTGTTGTTATTCGTCGTTGTTTGTTATCATTCTCATCAAAAGAATTTTTAAATATACTGAGAAGTAATGTAAATATACTTGGTGATAAATTTGTAATACGTAAACGATGCCATAGTTTTTTTGTTTGATATTCATCTTCATTATCGATTTGAAATATAAAATTTCTTCCACGTTATGTTTCATATTCTCCTTTCAATATATAAGAATTAATTGGTACAGCCTTTTGTTGAAATAACGTTTTTGGATGATAATTCTTCGCCGTTGTTGAACTTAAGTGTGAAGAGCGGCGCACTCGTCGTCAATGTGTGCTCACCAGCTCTGACAGATCGAGACAGGACGGTTTGGCCCATACAGCTATACCAGTGGATGCGAAAATCTTTTCTAGCGTGCGAGAACCTCTCATCTGCAGATCTGTATGGTTCACTACGTAAAAGTTGCGGCGTATCGAAGAACAAATGTTGAAATGCGCCTGTATTTTATTCATGAAGTTCTGCAAAGTACAAACTGAATACTTTTTACAACGACAATCTAGATGCATTTTTCATCCGTTGACTCGCACTTCAGCGCTAAATTTTAATCTTCCTGAACGAAGACCTCATATATATTTATTAAAGTTGTTTTTTCAGCACCACTATAAAAATGTGTAACAGTACTTGTTTTTGTTGCCGCTGTTGATGATGAGAGGCTTGTTGTTATCAAAGATGTTATAGCCGTATGATGTTTTTCTTCATGTTCAAGTACCAGAACAATTGTAAGGATAACTATCACTGTAGTAATAGTGCCTAAGGCAATCAACCAAAGTTTACTACTTTTTTTATCATATATTGTCCTTATGATCAACAGAATAGTGATATCTTCAGAAGGCATTTTTTCGTATTGTAAAAAGCTGAATCCGAAACATAACGTGTTACTCTATTTATCTATATATCATTGTTATGATGGTTGGTTTTTTCTCGTCTGTACTTTCCCTGACTTTATTATTGAGGCAGAATTATTCACATACCTCTTATATTATCAGGTGTAGTTGATAAGAAAACAAAATTAGTGCTTTTATCTTTTCTTCATTGTTTAGACTCATTCTACTTTTTCTGTCTTATTACCTGTTGGATTGCGTAACTTTCTTTTAAAATAACGTAAAGTATTCGCCACTCAATAGTTACAATAACAAGTTCGATATTTATTTTGCACTTCAGCTTGAAAGCCAACTATACTTCTGCGGAGACATCCCATCTGATAGACCATGAAAAAATCAATTCGAAATCCGTTGAAGTTATTCAAATCGGAAGATATAATAGTGAAGATTTGTCATGAAACAATTAAGGCAAAGACTACTTATGCGTATTACAGTTCATGTAATGGATTCATATGGATAATACATCAGTAACTGATATATTCAGAAATATTTCTGTTAAATTTATTAAATTAACTGATTATGTTGTTACACATTACGTGACAACAAAGTTTCATATATCGTTTTGGAATTTGTATGATATTATTGGAATCAGACCACGAACTAGTTCGGGAAAAAGCTTACAATGCATTGTACTAACATGAAAAAACAGCAACAACAAAAGATAAAGAAGATGGTGCCTGAACAACTGGGCGTGTAAGAGAGTTTGTACATGCGTAATTGTACACCATGCACAAACGTCACATATGTTGTTTTATTTGTTCTGTTATTTTAATTAAAATTTATTATCTCTTTTGAATTTGCTATTTTGTCTCATTGTATTATCTCAATTGGGGCATTTGACTTTATTATCTCTTTTAAATACATTTTATTGTCTCTTTTGAGTACACGCAGTTTACTGTCTCATATGGGGATAAGCGAGCCAGAGCGATTTTAAAGCTATGTAGTCATATATAATTGCTTGCCTTAAGCCTTTTCATGGAATGTTTTCTCTGTCTCATAGATCTAATCAAATACCGTCGGAATACACATCAGGGCACAGAACGATCCCTGCCACACGGATCGTGTACATAAATTAGCCGAAACTGCTCATACAAACCTGTACATAAAACATTAACGATTAAGGCACAGAGAGTGTTCAATAAACGAAAGAGTGATGGCATCGACACGGTCAATGCGCGGAGATAAAGAAAAAATTATTGAAAAATATTGCATGCATATAATATTGTGTTGAAATAAAGCACATCAACAAAAACACGATATTTATATACTACAATATAAAATATATTAATAAGCCAACAGTTATCGTAGAAATGAAAGAATGATTATTTGTAGAGGATCTGGTGATTATTTTTACCATCTTACTGTAGGTGGAACGTGAAGGAACAAGGAACGCCGCTGATGTTTCTATAAAACGAAAACAAGATAATCTGATGTGAGTATAAATTACACAAGTATCTAATGAACATTAAAACTTAAATAAAACTATTATTCATTCGTGCTTATAGTTTTCTAAACATTGTTTCAGACCGTCATGTGAATATTTCCACCATTGTGATTGTGGCAATTGATCGGGATCAAAATTACATTTACGTAACATAATACCATAACAAACAATAATATTATTAATACACTTATCTTGACTATCGGTAACTGGTATAACCCATTCTATTACCTCATTTCTAAAATTTTTATCAATTCTAATGCTTTTGCTTTTCAACACTGTTTCTCCATGAATTTCGATAGCTGACGGTTTAACCCGACATTGAAATATCATTTGAATATATGTTTTTCGATCATTCTCTACTTTACTCCATGGCTCAGCGTAAAGTGGATGTGCACAATATTCAATACTTGGCGATAAATACACACATGCCCTTTCTTTATTATAAACTCCACTTGTGCTCGCTAGCAAACCAGTTAATAATATATTTTTTGCATTGATACTTTTTGTCCCATGATAAGCTACATGCCATTGACCATATTCTCGATCAAATTCTTCTTGTGTTTTATCTGGTATTTTAATCGAATAACGTTTCCATCCTAAATTTATATTTAAAAGGAGTAATAACGATAAGGTTGCTTCTTTGGCCACGATTTGTATATTCAGATCTTTGTAGAAGTCTGTAGAAATTTGGCTTTAGGAGTCCACCCTGAGGGATTTCGGGAAGCTTTTTCTCGAATTTAACCCTAAGCTTAATCGGGATATATATATAATCGAATTAGCTGATCACGAATATCACGCTATGATAGCTTGGAAACTCTTAGCAAAAACGCAGGAAACAGTTTTTTAGTCGATAAGTTATGAGAGCACATCCCAGTTTTGACCGCCTGTAGTATGACGTTTCTAGCGTTCAAAAATGAAAGTTAAATTGAGATTTTCTATTTGACTTATAACAGTAAAAAAGTGAAAAAGTGCACTAGTATGTTTTGTTGTTAACTCTGCTGTCATTTGATTCTATCTTCGACGCAGCTTTCCACGCTCTATCTGAACATATAAACTGAATATATATAAAAACGATCCCGGAATTATAGACAAATAATCATGTTGTTTTTTCATTCATACAATGATATAGTCGTATCCAGAGATGGGCGAGTACTGAGCACGAGTACGAGTACCGAAGATCGAGTACGAGTATTTTCTGAAAAGTACTCGAGTAGTACTCGAGTATTTTTTTTTTCTCAAGAAGCCGATGAATCCGAAATAATTTACGAATAAATCGATTTTTTTATACGCAAATAGTAAAAAAAAGATCACCAGTTTTTTGGGAAAAACTCGAATATTTTTTGGAATACGTGTTAAAAAAAGTCCGGAGTACGAGTATGAGTACGAGTACTAGGAATTTTGTACTCGAGTATACTCGTACTCGCCCATCTCTGGTCGTATCGTGCAAAGAGTTTATCAAGTGGCACACTTCAACATCAGAAAAAATTATAGCCCATTTAATTTAAAGATCTGAATATACAGTTTTGTCTAGAATTTAATGCTGATTCGAACCATATATAAATTTCTCCAAAAAATCGTGGTGAAACAAGCAACCTTATCGTAATCACTCCTTTGAAAGAAATTGAATATAAATCGTAATTAATTACCTTTTGGACAAAAATATGGTTTTCCACCACGATTTAACGACCCGGACCAATAAGTTTCACTTGTCGTATTTGATTTTATTGAATAAATACGATTCCATCTTGGATTCATAATAGCTGCACCAGTATCCAAATCAAATTCACCTGATAATATTAACCTTACATCTTTCAAACTATCAATATTTGAGTTTTCTTTTAACTGTCTAATTACGCTTTCATCACAGAATGACTGAAAAATTCCTGTAACAATTGTACTCCCACGTTCAATTTTTAAAATTTTAAAATGTTTACTTGGTATATTTAAATGTTTACATAAAGAATCGCACAAATTTTGATTATTACTTGATAAATTTTTATTCCATTCATCAAACTCAGTTGAAAATTCGATTTTTATTGGTAAGTCATTTTCTAAAAGTATAGATTCAAAATAAAAATTTGACATATCTCATGATGCATGTTATTACCTACCTGATGATGGATTAATATATCCACTTATTAGTGAATTATTCATATATTGCACAATCGTTTGTTACAAATTAGTGTCGGTATGATCATCGCTTCCTATTTTATTTCATGGAAAACTACTGCCATCATTTGGGAGAGTTGTATCTGTCTTTTCCATACTGGTGGTGCTTTCCAAACAATTAAATCTTTTATTATACTTTTTCGTTCAATTGCTAACTTTTGTTGAAAATAATTCGAATATGATGATCCACAACTTAGTTTACTTATAATATATTTTAAATCAATAATATCTTGTTCCTGTTTTACTAAATTTTTATGATAATTTCCTTGTGATAAATTTTCAAATTCATTAATACGATTAAATCTTATTTTTTCAATTTTAAGTAACCATGCATTCGCTTCAGATTGTTTAAAACTCACTGAATTTTTGGTATTTTTTATGTTTTCTACTAATTGATTAAATTGTTCATCCATTTGTCGAATAATTTTCCTTCTCAAAAATTCTCTTTCATTGTTTCTGATCATGCGAACAACAGGTTTAATAATTACGTCGTGAATACCAAATATTTGTAGTGCAATAGATACGAGCGTTGAAATATATAAAGAACGATCAATATTAGGATTTTGTTCATCAAAAACCCGATTAAACTCAATGATTTCTTCGTTATGAATTAGCCGTAATTTGAAAATCAGATCATGAATAATTTGTTGTTCTCGTTTCTCTAATAATAATGGGCCAAGAATTAAGATATTATTTTGAAAATAAATTTTTTTCTCATATAATTTTGTTATTGATTGAAATAAAAATTGTAATTCTAACAATTTTTTGTCAAACCATTTATCTAATTGATAAAACCAATTCTTTGTTGGTGTTTTTGAGACTTCATTGATATATAATTCTTGAATTTCATTATCAATCTCAAACACTTGTCTTAGAAATAAATTTATTAATTCTGTTCTTTGCTCAATAGGCTCGTAAGTTATGATGATTTTTTCCAACTTTATTTTAAATGTTTTTTCATTTGGTAAATTATTTCAAGAAAAAGATTTTTGTTAATTAATAATAATCTTTCTATTGTTTCATCAATTTTTTCTCGTTCCTCTTCATAAACAGATTTTTTTTCTTTTAATTGATTTTGTTCAAATTCATATTGCTTTTGAGTTTCATATTTTGCTTCTTCAATAAATTGTTTTTGTTTTTCGATTAGTTTATTAAAGCAAAACGCTAAATCTTCATCCATTATTTGATATTCTTTGCCAACGAACCGTTAGAGCAACAATATATACGTTTTCAACCGCTTTGAGCTAGCAAGGAATTATGAGTCAATGAGAAGAATACGAAAACTATTCATATGCAAGACTTTTTCTTTCCTTGCTCATGATACAACTAAGGTACTTTACCCGTATCATAAATAAAGTTTACCTTTTATATCTGTCATCTCTAATGACTAACATGCTTAATGTTTTTCTCTCCGTTTTGGTAACATTTATATGACGTTTTAAGGTTTATCTATTTTAAACGAATCAACTAATATACCCAAAAATATATAAACTGATAGAAATAGTGTTACAAAGCACATAGGGTACATATATCTTTAAAACTGATGAGAGCCGTTACATCATCTTGATCGAAATTGACCAGACAGCCATGTTTTTGTGGGAGTAAGGTGATCATGTGTGCAAGAAGAGACTTTTGATATTTGGCATGCCAGGCCAGCACGCGCTGTCCTTCATAGAAATCGGGCATTGTAGGGATTGGACGGTGTGCTGATTTTCGCGGCTGACTACGACTCTTATTCTTCATGATTTTTGAATATTGTTCGAATAGAGAAGTAAACCAGAAAAGCCTTTGGTAAAAAGTAGAGGAAATGTCCCGAACGGCTATTGACCAAGAATATAGTATGACCCGATATGGATGACAACAGTTCGACCGAAGATCAATAAGGAAAACAGTGAAGAGGATTGGGAATACCCGGTAAGTGTTCACCAATGGTTTAAGTGAATACTAAATACGTGAAACCACGTAATAAAACAAGCAAACATCGAATTACGCTCGAATATTTCGCCTTAAATAACGAAATACTAAGAGTAAACCCCCCCCCATAATAGAAGCCTCCCCCATATTAGAAGCCCTCCCGTATTAGAAGCCCCCTCTGGAGCAATGGATGTGGAAGGTGTATTAGAAGCCCAGGGGCTTCTATTACGTCGAAAAATAA